ACACCCTCTGGGAGGGCTGTGGGGCTGTGCCAAACTTCTCTTGGGGGGTGCAGGCCCCTGGAGCTGCATGCAGGATGACAGCAGGCTGCCGTCCCTCCCCCAGAGCACTGGGATTGGCAGAAACCTCAGGGACAGATTGTAGGCACTGGCCAGCTACAGATGTCAACATCAGAGTGGTCCTCCCCCCCCCGCCCCTTAGTTTCTGTTTCCCCGCAAGCCCTGATCTGAAACTCCAAAATTTTCTGAAACATTTTGGATGGTTTCATTTAGGTTCGGAGATGTTTTGGAGCCTTCCATTTTGTTTTGGATTCGGTGTTTTGGGCACCAAAATGCGCCAAAACACCTCCAAAACAAAACGGCTGTCAAAGTTTCACACAGCCCTACTATTCTCCTCATTTCATGCAGGTGGCCCTAAACCATAGAGAGACGAGTGCTTTGTTCAGTCACAGGGGAAAAACATGGCAAAGCCAGAAAGCTAACCCTGACTCCCCATGTCCCAATCCAGTGCCTTCTCTCAAGTCCATATGAAGCCTTTGGTCATTTCTTACTTTAAACTATCACACAACTTGATCCTCAGTGTCTGAATCTCTACTCAAGCTAAAGCAGTGATAGATTTTGTCCACGTACAACTACAAGATAGCCCTAAAGCATCACACAGTTTTTTGAAAAATACAGGTTTCCCTCGCTTTATGCTGTACATGCGTCCCTGGAAAACAGCGCATAACTCAAATTTGTGTAAAGGGAATTTTACAGTGTCATAAATAGGGATACGTTCTAAGACCTCGACTGTACTAACCCCCAGACCCATTTCCATCACTTTTATAAGACAATTTTGGTACCCCGCAACAGCAGACAGTACACACAAGCCAAGGGCACCATCATAATGGGGACAGCAACTACAGAAACACGAGTCACAGACAATGAGCGAGGAGCACAGATCCACACAGGAGACTATTTTGGTGCACATCATTCCCACAATGCACTGCACAAAGCAGCTGACTGGGCCCTCACCACACTGATAGCAAAAGAGTGAATTTACCTTGCATATAACAAATTTTTGGTATAAAAAGGTCATTGCATAAGAACAAATTTGCACATACAGAACCCACATAAAGTGAGGGAAACCTGTAAATGTTTAATCTGTTTGCTCCTGTATGGGTATACTAGATGCAGTGACATTAAATTTGAATGAAACAGACTTTGAGTTCTAGTGGTTTGCTTCCACTTAAGAGTGGAATACAGTGGACATAAGAAAAAAGTTACAGCAAATCAGGTGCAAAGCGTTAGAATTCTAAGTAATTTATTTGCTCATCTACATACGTTTGTCTACTGATGGAAAAGCTACCACATGCCTTATACACATTCATATTTTTTTATATATAAATAACATGCCCTATACACAGTTATGATGCACAGACATACAATATGCAATTTCAGTCTCATCATTCCACGATTACTTCTCCACAGGAATTTGTCAGAACAAACCAATTCACCAATATTTACCATGAAAAACCTCTAGTTCCAATCTTAATGGTTAATATCATCCCAGAGGTGAGAGAGGTGTTTAGAAATGAAGCTGAAGACCCTAAAGAGGAAGTAACCGCAAAAAGCTTCAAATTCTCTTTCATTTTAAAGCTCTGACTACTCCATAGAGTTATTTATAGTAACTCAAAGTAAGAGTTGAATAGTTTGGGGATTGTGCAGCATATGTTTCTGACCCAGTGGGCACACAATCATTACATCTTGCAGAAAGAGACAGGGATGTTTCCACCATGTGCTAAGTAACAATGGTCACAGTTGGCATGAAGATGCTAGAAATTTGCTTATACTCTGTCAAGTGCCACTGAAAGAATGTGGTTCTGTTTACCACCTCTCAAACACTTCATATGAAGTTTACTAGATTTAAATATAAAGATATTTTTGGAATGCCCAGCCACGCAAACTCTACAAGCCAAGCTGCCTTCCATCTGACTTGCAGAATCTATATGATTGATTGATTATGTGCAACTGGGACTCAACAATTCTGCCAATCACAACAAAGGGCAAAACAGAATTAAGTTTACTTTGCAATTGCTGTGTTGGCAAGAGTGCTAGCAAAAGAGAACAGCGACTTAATCTGTTACTAAGGCCCCTGGCAAATACACTTGAGATGTGATTAACCCGTTAATCATGTCTTAGGTAGTAACCCAGCCACACATTAATGCAATTAATGGTACAATAAAACAAGGACTAAATCACACAGTTATTACACAAAATATGCAGAATAACTTTATGGCTGGTCCCCATCATGCTTTAAACTGCACATGTGGCCAGGCCAATCATTTGATTGCGGCTCCCAGCCAAGGCTAGTGGCTGATCAAGGCTCCCACCCTCAGGGGTGCATCAGAATCCTTGACACTGATGCACTTCCAAGTTTGGGACTAGGGATCACCCGACTGGTTTCCTACTTGCTGGTGCAGGGGGAGCCCAGGATCATTATCCCAAACTCCCCCTGCACCACCAATATGGAGCAATTGGGATCTGATCTCTACTTATGCTTCTTGTAATACATGTGTATCACGGCAGCAGGTGCGATTGGTGGGACTGTGCATCAGATCATATGGTGCCTTTAACTGAATGTCTGCCAGACACCTGAAGTAAGCTTCTCTGACTAAGCAAGCACACAACTCACCTGCTAAGTAATTATGTAAATGTTAGTGTCACTTTGACAATGAGAAATGCTTTAGTGCTGGTTGCAGTAACATGGCAAGAAAGGATCAGAATTTTCCCCACTCCCATAACAGCAGTGCCTAAAAGTAAGAGCAGCAGTCAGCTCTCCCAGCAACTGGGAAACTGAGAAGAATGGGGGAAGAGAGGACAAGGGAAGCCCTAAGAACATATGCTTAAATAGGCTGAATGCATGCATGTGCTAAAGATTTTCCAACTTATTTTTAAAGAGGAAAACATTTTAATACGCTATGAGCCACAACAAGATCTTCTGGCCACCGATCTTGCTGTGATCAGAGGACAGCGTTCTGAAGGCGTGACACTATCTTTACCTTTTTTGCTGGGAAGTGAATCTACCAATAATGCTTGGTGGGTAAGAAAGCCCACAAGCAAAACAGACAAGTGGGCCGGGGTGGAGGTGAGGAGGGGAGTAACTCATGAATGGAAGAGAGAAAGCAATGCAGTAAAATATAGGAGCAGAATGAGAAAGCAACAGCAGAGTTACCTCCCTGTGGACTCACCTCAGACTCTGAGTCACTATCTTGTTTCTCATCTTCATCCTTCCCGAGAAAGAATTTCAAACCAGCAACTAATATCTGAAAAACAGGGCAAGTTTAGAGGGAGGCAAATATCCCATGCTAGGTCACACTGAGAAACACCAGTTGCTTATGAAACAGCTTGGAGACAGACTGAAAAGTCTGTCCATCTTGCACAGACATGCTGTCAGCCTTTGCTGCTGGAAGCAGTGGCATACCTATGGTCCAAGTACAACTGGACTTTTACAACTCTCCAGCAGGCCTGTAACACTGACTCAGTGAAGATGCAAAGCCTGATTTGTGGCACCATTGGTGTAATTTTAGTTTTACTGCTCTGGACCATTAGGGATTCCATAATAGCTTGAGCAGTCAAGCTCCTAGGCTCAGAACTAGAGTTTCAACTGTCTATACATGTTGTTTTATGGAACAGTCAATGAACCTTCATCATGGAATGGGTCAATTTCAGTCAACTATGAGCATCTTAGAATGGCCATCACTGCAGTACCTAGGTACAGGGCTGTTTCGGGGACTGTATATGCAGAAGGCCTCAGATACACCCAAATCATGGACAGAATACTATTTTCACCATTCAGGGGCTTGCTTCACAGCCAAGAATCACATCCTATTTTCTCCATCTCTGTGATAAAGCTGTGCTGTGATAGTGCTATTTGGACCCCTAAATAAGTGAAACTTGTCAGAAGAGCACTCAGAAAAGGAACTTACATCCATATCAGAGAGACAGTTTGAGCAAAATATACCATGATTTCAGATCAGTTTCTCTCTCACCTTTGTGACTTTGGAGAAGCAGGCAGTTGTGATGACGTTTACAGTTTTGGCATCATTCCTAGAACAAACCATGAACATCTTCATTATTTATGAGAATAAAACGTGGCCATTTTTCAAATATTCTTAAGAACATGATTTAAACATGTGACACACTCAAACTACATGAAAAAGTCAATTTACTGGAATTAAACCAAATACTATGGGCTACATTTGAGATGTGATTAACCAAATACTATGGGCTAAACAGCACTGAAAAGCACCACTTTTTGGCTTCTGAAACTGGTGAAGTTGTCAAATGATAGAAGGCACAAACATTACAACTATTAAGAAACTGCCTGTTATGATGAAACATTGAGAATTTTTTTAATTCTCAATGAAAGTGGTTGATAGAAACTAAGGGCCAGATTCTACTCCATGCACTAGGAGCCTAAGTGAACCTAGATATCTAATGGAATCGTTTTCCACTCTGCTCCAGTGCCCTAAAAGTCCATTAATGTCCACAGGTGAAACACTTATGTGCCACTCCATCATCTTAGCCTTCTGCCTGCTTTATGTGATGTGGGCATGAGAAGGATTTGCCAACCTTTTAAATTAACAGTTTTTTCCATGGATTAGAGCAGGGCAGAATAGGACAGGTGTCTAATAGGTGGAATATGATCTGGCTCTAAATCTGTAAAGCTTATATAAATAGTGGTCCCTGGAGTGAACTTCAGTCTGCTTCAAATATGCTCCTCGGAGTGAGTTTGTCAATTTTATTTTAGGTTTCCCCTGATTTTGCTCTGTTGTAATATTTCGTTCCTCAGGATTTTACTAAGAGCTTTATTATGCTGCTGTTCTAGTGCTACCAACTCAAGTGTAACTATATCGGATTTATCTGCCTGTACAACAGATACATGACCTAAAACATGTGAATACAAACTCCCCAAATCAAACTTGTTCTGACAAACTGTTTCATGCTCCAGCTATTGATACCAGCAGAAACAGGTATAACATGAATTCTGCAAAAGTAGAGTGGCATTGGCAAAGTCCTGCCAGGATCTTCTGAAAATTTTAGATTGGCAGCAAATACACTACACTTTGCCATGACAGTAACAGTACTTATTTGCACAGAAAAAATAGACAGTAACTCACCAAGCATCTAGAACAGTGGTTCTCAACCTTTTTCAGACTCAAGACACCCCATGGAACATGTCAACTCTTAACTTTCACTCATTTTTTTCAACGAGAGAAAAAGAATAAAGCAATGTTCTATTTCTTCTGTTGCAAAGAACTCAGAGGGACCACAACAAGTTAGAATGCTTTTGACACCATGGATTCCTATTTGAAATCTCAGTTTATCTTGTGACTCATGTGCAAGTGTCACACACCCAATAGTGATACAATATTTTCATCAGAACAAGTTTGATTTGGGGAGTTTTTATTCACATAAAAATATAAAATTATACACACACAATATTGAACAGCACCCTGGAGAACCCTTAAAAGGATCTCTCAAACCCTTGGCTGAGAATCAGTGACCTAGAACAAACAGGTAAGGCTCCTCATCTCATCATACCCATGCAAAGCCTATTTCACCACTTGGAAGCCAGCCACATTTAGATTTTTATCACTCACCACAGCACAGCTATATTCATGATTTAATTTATTAATTATATTGTCAAAAAAGCATGAATACAAGGAATGTACTTATACATTGTTCGAAGTAAAGTGTCTACGATCCTTCTTGAACAGCATCTCTTACATGTCCTCTTTCTGTCCTAGATTTTTTTGGGAAACAGCAGCCCACTAAGATAAATATGCTCCCTATTATGCTCAATACTATGCTCCCCATTGTACCATTCTATACAACTGAAATTGCTATGTTTGACATGGGATATTCCAGTGTAACCAGAAATCTGTTTGGGTTTAAACTCACCAAATATTCCTTTTGTACAGTTCAGTCATCACATCCAGAGATATCTTGGCTGCCGTGGGATTGCTGTCTCTCAGCATAGTGTACATGAAATTCTGCAGCACCTTAAGAACAAATTGGGGAACCATTTTTTTCAGTTAATTTTTTCACAGTATATAAAAGGGTTCGTCTGAAATGAGTAGGAAAGCCAGTATACTTACAGTATTCACTTTATTGTTTTTGTGTTTAGCGTTTATATTCTTGATGTCCGTTACAATGTGAGTATAGAGAGTCTGTAAGCAAAAAGGGAATATCCATAAAGTAGTATGTGAATATCAAATATCTGCACCTGGGAGACCACAATATTAATTCTCTATAGCCTGGTAAGTACTACAAGACAAGAGACGTAATAATTTTTGCAAAAGGAAGCTCTATTAAAAACCAGTGGCGGGGGTAGGGGGAGGGATGTACTTAATTTTATACATGGCATGATGCCCACTGACTTCGAGGGGGATATTTAAGCATTTAAGTCTTAAGAGAATGGAGGCCACGTGGAACCGAATAATATAAAATGAAGTTGCAATAAAAAGTTCCTCTTACAGCTGATACCTCTTCTGCAAATTAAGATAAATTTTGATGATCTGTTGTAATAAGTTTGGTTTCAGTTGATCTGCTTTTTCTGCAAAAAACAGGCATTTAACATGTTTAATAGTTAGTAGCCTTTTTTCATTCATAACTCAAAACTTCCAGTTTATCTACCACACCTGAACAGAAAAGGTATCATAAGATAGGACTGCCTGTCTTATCAGTTTAGAAATCAATTCCAGAACTTTTTTCATAAGTTATTAAGAACTTTTTAACTTACACTCAAGGCATTTCCATATGCCACTGCCCCCCCACCCCCCGTAATCGATGTAATTTTTTTCTTAAATAAACGTGAATACATTTATTTGTTGCTTAGCTAAGAGCATAGCACATTTCTGTTAAACCAGTGTCACTCAAGCCCAAGCAGAGTTATAAACATTTGGGCACAATGAAGTCAATGAGACTTGTACAACTACTTTCAGGGACCAATACATTACCCTCAATAAAAAAAATAACAAGCATTCTATGCAAACACTGTCTCATGCTACTCTATCTCCCATTTCACATCTTGAAAACTGTCCCTCTTGTATTATGTAAAATCTTCCTGTAGCAGGGCACTAAGGTGCCTGCTACTGAAACACAGTAAAAAGGACCTCAACTGCCAGTCACCAGGGCAGCACAGGTGCAGGTTGCCAGG